GGATCTTACACGCGGGTTTTTACAGTATCTCACATTGATTATCATGATATTGATTATCATTAGGTTTTATGAAGAAACGCAGTGCATTGAAATAATTGAGAAAGCTGATTATCAACACCAAAACACATGCTTGTTGCTCACGAACGAATGGGACAGCAGACATGAAGAAATACTGCGTGCAAAAAGATTTCAAACTTTGTTTCCTTATGTTCTATATGTTTTGTTCCTTGACGATTCTTTGGATTCAAGGTACGTTATCTTTGTAAGTAACCTGAAGTAAGCAATTCCTGCATACTTTATAAGTGTCAGTTAACTTGTTTCCCTTCAAGCCTTACTCTTTAGGAAGGTGAAAATCTCTTTTACTTTATCTTCATTGAAATTTAGAAATAAACTTCATAAATCTAGGCTCAACAGCAAGTATGAAGAAAACAAGGGTAGTCATTTATCAAATGACTGCGGACAAAAGACGATACAGTTCTTGCAGCCAAGAGAGGATATCTTCTCTTGCAGCGAATGAAAAAGAATCTGCAGATAAATAGTTCGGTGTTTTCGATCTGAACACTTTAAACCCACAAGTTTTATTTTCCATAAATGTATTACTGGCAATACAAAAAGTAGGCTCGATTTATACCAGTACCGTTCAGGAAATGAGTCCGCACCCCTCTTCCTCCTTCCTCTTCTCGGGGAGGAAAAAGAGCTGCGGAAGTCGAGCCTAAACAAAAAAATACTAGGATGAGAAAGATATTTATTCAGTCAGTGATACATTTGGCTGGGAAGAAAAAAATCCGAATACTTGCAATAGGAGTCCTTAGCTATTACCTTCTTTTACTATGGTAAGTTCAGATTCTCTGCCACTAATTAAGCTACTTGAGACTCGGGGAGCTAAGACCATTAAACTAGGGTCAATACAACACAAGGATGTCGAATCGATCCAAGCAAGTGACAAAGATAGTCTAGGGGTCAGTTGTTGGATAGCATAGCTAATAAGGAAATTACATAGCCAAATTATAAATGGTTTAGCTAAACATTTAAACTAAGTCTTTCTCGGACCGAAGTCTATCTATCTATCCTCTGGCTTACTTTAAGAAAATAAATGCTTTTCTTGTCTAGTCTGTATGCTTTCAAGAAATTGCATCCTGTTTAGATAAAAGCCTTGGGCAAACTGAAAACGTCTTAGAACGCGGTTTTGTTATTGAATGGCTAAACTCAGCTTAAATAAACGGCCCAAATAGTTTAGCCGGCCCGTAATGAATGATCTAGCGGCCCATGTCGAGTTGGAACTTGAAATTATTGTAAAATGGTCTTGTCCGAATGTGTATAGCCTACCTCTCATTTACAATACATCATAAAACAAAACAAAATGATGCTGAAAAACAGAGAATGGGTTTAAGTTCTCGAAGAATTACGTCAATTGTCCACACCGTAATTTTTAGGGAGTTATTACAACTCCAAAAATGGAGTAAAAATTTTAGGTACAAGATAACCCCTTTTTTGGGGTTATTTTAACTTCTAATTTAACTCCGAATTTGGGATCATTTTTACTCCTGAAAAAGAGTTCTTTTACTCCCAGTCTGGAGTTCAAATCACTCCGAAATGGGGTTACTTTCACTCCTTACATGGGTTGTTATTACTCTTTTTGGAGTTAATTTAACTCTGAAAGTGAAGTAAAAATTTTAGGTACAGGATAACTCCTTTTTTGGGGTTATTTTAATTCCTCAATATCTGGGGTCACTTTTACTCCTGAAAAAGAATTCTTTAAACTCCTTTTTGGAGTTAAAATAACTCCCCCCGAAAATAACTCCACTGTAAGGAATTAAATTAGCCCCACTAGAGGAGTTATTATAACTCCCTGAAAATTACTGTGCAATTAGTAACAGTTATTGGGCAAAAGATGTCAGTTGCATGGTGCACGCAAAAATGGTTGCGATATTTGAAATGACAAAACAGCCAAATTTAAAAGATTTGCCGGGCAAGAGTATACAAAGAAGGATTATCTCGCATGCCCACTGCTTTTTGACTGTCTGCGGAAAAACTCGTTCACATCATGAAACTCATGCAGAGAAACTCAGAGGAATGGAGAGAAGCGTGACGTCAAGTTACCATGGTAGCAAAATTTCTTGATCTCAACTATCGTTCTTGACAAAGACGGCCATTTGCATTGACGATCTATAGAAGAAAACTGTGGGTTACCGTTTTGTTCCTGTATGCAATCGGGCACAGGAAAGTCATACATGTCAATTTTTTATTTTTTTTCTGCTATATTGGCAGGACCGGGACGATTTTTGTTGAGATCCAGAAAGGTTGCTACCATGGTAACTTGACGTCACGCTTCTCTCCATTTCTCTGAGTTTCTCTGCATGAGTTTCATGATGTGGACTCCAAAAATGGAGTAAAAATTTTAGGTACAAGATAACTCCTTTTTTGGGGTTATTTTAACTTCTAATTTATCTCCGAATTTAGGATCATTTTTACTCCTGAAAAAGAGTTCTTTTACTCCCAGTCTGGAGTTCAAATCACTCCGAAATGGGGTTACTTTCACTCCTTACAGCGTGACGTAACGACTTCTCCTCTCTATTGGCAAATGTTTTGAAGACATTCTTAGTGGAGGAACGTCAAGTGTCAGCTGTATTTACGGACTAGTTACTAAGCGATACTGAACAAGGTGTCGATGGCAAGTAACTGGTTCTCATCAGAGCAGGTGACTAATGTGGGATGGGTACATATAGAAATTTCTACAGAGGCTTTTCGGTTTTTGGTTGTCCTTTGTTTTAAAATAAATCATGGTACCTGGAAGGTCCTTTAACTTGCCTGCATCCAAATGTCTTTACAGGTCAGTGGTAGATCCAGGGGAGGGGCCCAGGGGGCCCACCCCCCTCACTTTTGGACCAATCTGTGGCCCGAAGGGCTGAGAAAAAGTTTTTTTAGACCGCCCCACCCCCCTTATCTCAGGGTCTGGATGACCGAGTCCCCCTTTATCTGAGGGTCTGGATCCGCCGATGCAGGTACATTACAACGACCAAGTAACTTTCCTATCACCATTGTTGCTTTCGGTCGCCTCGGGCAGCAGTCGTCTCAACCAGCCCACTTACATCATTTCCCCTAAGATTTAACTCCTCAAACTGATTCTGTTTGAGAGTGATGCCCTTTTCTAGTGCAGTTCCAATTGGACTCATGTTGAATACTAGTTAAAACGTATTGTCGAACAAAGATAGTAGAATTAGCGGCGTTCAGAGTGGGTGTTCGGGAACTGTGACTGAGCACGGCACTCTCGGGACACTGACGTGATCACACTTTTTTTTTTTCATATACCCACGCTAAGAATTTGGGCAGGAAGCCAGTGCCCACTGCGTACATGGTGCCTGGTCCACATCTTTTCTTTCGCTCCGAGACAAAGTAGTTTTGTATCCTCTGCTACACTCCTTTTCCAATGACGTCTGACAGGGCGAAACTGAGCAAATATGTACACAGTGATATAGGGTACCCAACCCTGAACAATGCCATTTTGGGCCGGTAGCTCAGTACAGTCTAGTTCTCGGTACCAAGTTTGAACAGCCCCTTATTCATTGAACTAGTAATTAACCGCATATAAAATTTATTGCTGAAATATCTGAGCCAGAAAAACGTTTTTCTAGATACGCATATCCCAGCATAGGAAAAAAATAGAATCAATTAATCCTAAATGTATGTACTCACTTTAAACGAAACCGACACTGAAACACTTTACCATACATGCATTTCTCTTCATACCACCCTCCCGAACAGAAGAGAGAATTTACATAGGGCAATGTTCGACAGTTACTAAGGGCAAACTCTTCTGAGAAAACATTTGAAAAGAATATAAACAATCCAATCGAAATTCAAAGTGAAGTTTTATCCCAATGCGAGTCGTGTATCGTATACAATCTATCATTACTGATTTTTGCCTTTCACTCTTTCTAGATTGCGAATTCGCTCTCCCCTATTTTGTAGGTTTTTCCTTTATCCTCCCTCTTATTATTTGGCGGTTTCTTTTTCTCCTCTAACATAAGATTTAAAGTCACGACCAGCGGATTTAAGCTAATATTACAATAACGAAACGGATTCCTCAGTTATGATCAAGTTATTGCTTTATAGCTTTGGAAAAAAAGTTGAGTGCGTAAATAGGTTAGGGTTTTTCTCTTAAACTATTGAAAGAGATGGCCGTTTATACTAAGACGCAGTCATTCAGGAATAGGGGGTAATTAGGAAACAAAACAATGAACAAAACCTCGTGTGGCTTTTGGGCGGCATTCCCTGTGGAGCAGATCGAGGGCGCTTACAATTGAGCGAATGAGAGTCACACAGTTTACGCTTCATCTCTAGTATGAGAGATCTACAATTTTTGCCCCACTGTAAGTGTAATGTGTAAATTTAGCTATGCTATTTCTTTATTAGCTAATTAGAAGTATATTATCCTGCAACTAACCCGTAATTCGTGTTTGCTAATCTATTTGATATCCTTGTATTCTTCGTGATTGCTTTCCATACAATTCTTCCTGGGTTTTATAATCTACCCCTCAAAGGGTTCTTGAAGCTTTCTCGTCTTATGGCAGCTTGTCACAGGTTGGAAAAGCTAACTCCAGCAACATCAAAATGACTTCAAAATGGGCTAGATAGTGATTTTTCGAAGGACTCTTCAAAAAATGGAGAGGAAATACAGGATGAACAGCAAGATTTAACCTCCCTAACTAGTTCTCTTAAGAGATAGTTAGTTATTGTTTTGACTGGTATTTGTAGTGCTCTGATTTTACACTCGGTCCACTCAACCCGCAACAATAATACATGGGCTCGGTTTGTAACGTTTACTCAGATATTCACAGGCCCTTAAGGAAATGTACTCAGAGACTGAAAGTTTGTTTAAGAGAGACTGCGGATGTTCGATAAGTGTGTTCATAAAATGTTTGAAAAAACAAGCAAACAAACAAGCAAACAGACAAAGATTTTCCTGTAGTTTTTTTTAGTCTTTTTCTTTTTTTTTTTCTATAGGCGTGTCACCCACAAGAGGCATAAACTGTGAAATAACCGCGCAGACTTGTCAGCCCCCTTTTCAGACGATAACAGTAAAGCCGAGAGACTCTAAAGTGACTCTAAAATGCTCGATTAAGACTGGTGGACATGTGCAAGATTTGACCTGGCAGGGCCTTGAAAGAAACCTCAGTGCCAGTAAAGGTCTATACTTACTACAAAACTATTCGACGGATGTAAATCAGTTACGTGGATGTTTCTCTATAAAATACGCCAGTGAGCATATTCTCCTTTTTCCTCTTTTGTAATTCATTGTTTATATAAAAACATCTTGATGGATAATTTTTTGTCTTCTTTTTACATATTTTATTATTAATGATCCCTGAAGACCTAGTCGGTGGCTGAAGGAGATTTAATTGCATGGTAACGGCAGCCCTTGCGGTTAGAGTAATATCATAAAGCGGTTGAAGTTTCGTCCGGCTGAATCACCTTCAACGTTAACAAAGGCATTTTACTGAGTCCCTAATTTAAAATCAACATAGAGCTGTAGTAAAGCATTAACGAGTTTGTTTTAGGAAAGTGTCACTTAAAAGAGAGAGATCACTGTATCTCAAAAATAACTGAGTGGATGACTTATCAAGTTATCAGTTTGGAAAGTAAGACGAAAAATTCCTTTTCAGTTCCAGTTCAGAGAGTTTATAAGACAAGTTCTCCAGTGGATTTATATTCTGATACGAGGGAAATGAAACTTAGGTGTGCCTTTAAGGGATGGCCTCGTCCTCGTGTTGCTTGGTACAATCCCTATAAGAAAATAATCATCAACGGATCTGAAAGCTTTTACCTCTACGAGCAGCTGGTTGGAGAGGACATCTTATATTCTGTTCTTCGATTTCCTAAAGTCCAAGAAAAACACGCAGGGGTTTATAAATGCACAGGAATGAACAACATTACTGGATGGTCGAGTGGAAGATCTGGGTATATTGATCTGAATTATCGTTGTAAGTGATCTGATTACTTTAAATACAGCCACTAATAAACTGGGGTGAGGAAAACCAGCTAAATTTCTGTACCAGTTTAAACTCTTACGTGGACCCCTTTTTTTCAATCAGGGCCGGGTTGTTCAAAACCACCGGGTTAGGGCAAAATTTGATTTCAGATGTGAAAGCTTAGAAAGCAAAGTCAGTTTAAGTCTTGTTTTTTTTTGACAATTTGATGAATGGATGCTCTAAAAACTAGAGAAACTTATCTGTGAAAGTACTTTTAAACAGAAGAAGTATCAGCCGTTGGCGCTAATCGGCCCTCGAACAACTTGATCCAGTTTCATAAATGGGTACCAGAAACATAACGTTGGGGTTGTCTTGTTGCAATGAACAGACATCCCATCCAGATGGAATTAAATATTGGGTGCTTCATGTTTTAAAAACCAGCTTCTGACCTCTACTAACACGAGACATCCAGATTGAAATGTTTGTAGAGGATAAGCCAGTCGGTCAACTGGGGCAGATGTATCCTAGCTACATCAATGATATAATTGCCAAATACTATTACGTGTTCTAGGTAAGAGCGATTGTCCGGCCAGATACGAAAAACCACTAAACAAACTACCCTTAAAAAGTGGACAAAAAATGATTGGAAACTATTCCCCTAGGAATGCAGTGACACAAAGCCCGAGGAAAGGGATCAAGCAAAAAGTAAAACACGGAATACCTTGTTACATAGAAGACTCCAAAAAAGCAGTAGACCTGCGCCGTTCTAAGGGACTGTGCAATAATTCCCTGGAAGGGGGGGGGGGTTGGAAAATTAGAGGGGACCGTAGGAGAAAATGACAACAAGAGAAAGGCGGGTTTGATGTAAAATTTAATACATACGGGGGGGGGGTATTACTTTTTCATTTCTTTTTGCAAACTGGAAAAGTAGTGGAAGAGTTATTAGAGTTCAAATATAAATACTTCCATTGGAATAAAACTGACAAATTTATCAACTTTAAGGTGTTCTGATCTATGAACTGTTGTTTTCCTCTCTGTCATGCAGTAGGAAAGGAATGCCTCTGTTATATATGTTAAAACAGTGCTACTTTATTTGCACTAGGATTAAATAAAACAGGAACCTTTAATTAAAAGTTGCAAAAGTAGCACTATAACGTTATTTAATGAAAGAGAAAGATGCCAATGTTACCATGCACACATGGCATCATAATTTAGCAGAATGAAAAACCCAACTGTTGAAATTTTAATAGCAATACAAATTTAAAGTATGGTAAATAAAACATGTAAAAGATATAAAAGCGCTTAACAACAAGCTGCGGAAAATGTATCTAAAGCAAAAAGGTCTTAAGATAAGTGAAAGCAAGGCTGAGTTGATTGATCGAGTTCTCACCCACGCACGCGGGAACCTTAGTGCCAGAGATGCTGTAGAAGATGAGGAATCTCCCAATTCATGCGAAGACGACACAAGCTCAGAGTTCAGTGATTCTGATGACTCTTCAAATCACACTTTGACATACATCGAAGAGTCATTTGAAGTGATGTTTGTACCGGAGGAAGAAATCCAACAAGTAAACTAGGTATGAGGGAATCAATGGGAGCAGACTTTTTTCAAGGGGGGTGGGGGGGGAGGGTTAGCCTTAATATTATCATTATGTGAGGGGGGGCGGTTGAAATTAATTTTTGCTTAATGAGAGGTGGGGCATGACTTAGTTTGGGGGCATATTTCACCCATTTCGCAACCCCCCTTCCAGATAATTATTGCACAGTCCCCTTTAATCTGCACCTCCATTGTTTTCAGGGATAGGGGCATTGTTATGCGACAATCCCTATTGTTTTCCCAGCTAATCAAAAACAATCTTTCAGATAGGTGCGGGATCAAAAAAGACAAAATTTGAGAGGACGTAGGTGTAAATACCTAAATACATATATACCGTGACCTAATAAACGCCCACTAATAAAAGCCTCTTATCTAATAAACGCCCCTCCACGCTGTTAAAATTATATTTAGACGCCCATCTCTAATAAACGCCCGCTTTCTCAATAATAAAATTGGAAGTTTCAAATGTTGGTCTTAAAGGAGAGAAGGTAACAAGAGATAAACCTCTTGGAGCAAGGGCGAGACAACAGCAACATAAACTGACATATGGTGTAGCCTCTGGAAATCGAGCACAGGCCACATGGGTGGGAGGCGAGAGCTGTTACCACTGAGCCACCCTTGCGTTCTTAACCTATTTAGCAGACACAATCAGTTAAAAGAGTGCTATATAAAACACCCCACGGTTGCTAAAGGATTGTTTTCATCCACTCGCTAGGGATCATTAAGGACGGCGTGTTACTGAAGAGAATAGGAGAGAAGGCGTAAAAGAGAAAAGTAGACGGACAGCTACAATCGAAAAGTGAAAAAGCATGATCCTCGTGATGCCCCATTTGCCAAATTTATATTGTCACAAATACTCAGGACTCAGTATGGGAGGGACTGGAAATAGGGCTGCACTGACGCTGCACAAGTGCAACGCAGCAATGATTTTTTAAAAGATATTATTTCTTTATAATATTTTTCATATTTTCGAATATAGGTTCGATCAAAGCCCCGCAAATCTCTTCTCCCGAAGTTTCCGTGACAGCCACCACCAACGTCAGCTTAAAATGCCTGGTCGCAGTAAGACCAAGCGACTGTTGGGACAACGCATTACGGTGGTATTTTAGCATCAGCTCGACGCCCTTAAAATCCGATGAGAAGTATGACATTCAACAAAGAAAAACTAACACAAGATGCAAAAAAGAATTTATTATCACCATTTTTAACGTTACTAAGGCTGATGAGGGGAAATATAGCTGTCACTGGTTCTGCGAACTAGACTATCTCAGCTCTTCCAGGAGTTCTACAATCCAGTTGAAAGTGTTCACTTCACTAAAAGGTATGAATAATTGTGTGATAATTAGCAGTGCATTTTCAAAAGATGTTAGAGAAGGTGAAATTTTTCGTTACAAAGAAGAGTGGGGCAAAAAGGATAAATGCTGAGAAAATGTAAATTAATGACAGATGAAATTTTTCAACTTGAGCCTATCTATCCAGTGTGTGCCGGTTATAAGAAATCTTTCTCTTCATTTTGAGTTATTATTTTGCAAAGAAACGATCGTGCAATTTCTAGTTCCAGAAAATATCCATACCCCTCACGGAGGGCAACTAGGGTTTGATAGATTTTGCTGGCATAATTTTCGGCATAATTCGTCATTACGAGCATAACTTTCAATGCATGTATTCCCGAAAAAAGCACTGCTAGCATAATTTGCTCTTTTGGCTAGTTTTGGAGCGCAAAATTGTCATTTATTGATCGTGCAACCAAATTGTTTTTGACCCGAGATAAGCGTTACGGGCAAATTTAAGTAACAAAATCAACTTTTTGTCTGCTTATTGTCGCATTCATGGCACCTGGGTCCCAAAGGTAATGACTTAGGATATTTCCACAGGACCCCACACATGCGCATAACTGACTAGCTCTGTTATCCAAGATATCGTGCGTGTGCTGGTATTTTCTTTGGATTTTTATAGTTTTCATAGACTGAATTATGCACTCTTAAGGTTCCTACATGTAAATAGGGTAAATGTTTGTCCCATTTACTTGTTTGTTGCATTGTTAGTGAGGTATTTTTACCAAATTTTAAGAAAAAGTAAGAAGCATAATTTCTGCGTATTTAGCTAAAATTAGCATAATCTACAAAAATAAGCTTAATTACTGGCATAATTTTAGAAATATAGGAGCACTGCTAGTAGCATATTATGCCACTTTTTCGAGTACAATCTCAAAGCCTAAGGGCAAGGGAAATTCCGAGGAGGGGGGAGGGGAGGGGGGGAAGGCAGTTCAAAAACGAGGCAATTTCCGAGGGGGTGGGGTGGCTTTTCGAGGTGTTTTTCCGGAGGCTCTGGGTAATATTGGTGAGTTATTAAAAAGCAACAGCTGCTCTGTTGAGCAAGCTGTCAGTTATTTCCGACGATATTTTATTTATGGACGGCTGAATGTGTTTTGAAACAATACCAATTTAAGCACTGAAGCACACGTACGAACTCTGCGATATGGCCAGTACTTTACGCATGGCATAGCCATATCACCCGTTTAGTAGCAGCCATGGTCAGCTGTTTTGCCCTTATTGGGGCTCATCAGGGTTATGGTTTGGCACATGTGTAAGGTACTGGCCATACCGCAATCTCGTTCCCAGAGTCCGCGCGTTACCCTTGTCCAGCGGAACAAGAGTAACACGGACTCTGAGAACGAGATTGGCCATACCGCGGAGTTGGTACGTGTGCCTCAGTGCTTATATTGGTGTGAAATGTTTTTTTTTTCACATCTTATGCGATAGTATATTATAATAATAATAATAATAATAATAATAATAATAATAATAATAATAACAATAACATATATAGCACCAGAAAGTTATTTTTAATGACGACAAATCAACAGTCAACATTGATACACAGCAATAGTAAAAAAAAATTAATTAATAAGTCAGTAATAAGTAACAAAACTTAAGTACAGCTTCGGCTCACAAAAAAGAAAAGAAACAATAAAAAATTGTAACAGTAGAAATAAAAGGTATTGGAGGATAAAAGCCTGTCAGTTGTCACCTTTTCATTAATTTTGTTTGCCTCAATTTTCAATGCGATATTGTTTAAAAAGCTCACGTAAAAATTCATCTAAATTAGGTTTTGTTGCGATGTTCTTGCAAGTGTATAAATAAATCTTTTGCGATAAAGCCAATAAAAGGAGTTTGCTTTGAGTTGAATTTGATATTTGATGGAAAGGAGTCTTCGAATGTATTAAATAAAATATGATTCTTTGAAAGTTGTACTTTCTCTTTAAGATATTCATTAAACCACCTTAAAGTTTTGGAAAAGAATTGCTTTGGCTCTAGACAATTGTATAAAGGCAAGAAAGGGTAAGAGCTTTATCCCCTCTTTGTAAAGGCCGTGTTCAATTGAATCAGGATTAATTAAGGCAGAAAGGACACTTGTCATCAG